CAAATTCTATATCATACATATTTTATTACATATAATAATATTAGTAATCATAGTAGAGATCGACTCACGTTTGTTGTTAATTCTTTTTAGTGGATTTCTTGTCAAAATGTGATCGAACAATCTCTTCATGTCCAAAAATGAGGTTGATGCTCTAATTAAAAATGAGTTTATATTTTGGTTTAATCACTATGTGAGTATTATCATTTTATATGTATTTAGTTTGTTGATAGTATTAATTAAAAGGTAACTAAACTCGGGTGAGGATTTTATGTTTAATTTACGGACATAAGATGCACAAGCAATTTTCATGAAAGATTAGTTATTAAAAGATCTTGCACGAGCCCATTGCTTACTATCAAATCATACACTATTTATTTTGTTAATGATTAAAGGTTCACGCACACTTGAGGGATCTTCGAAAACAAGGTCTTTAAATAGTGGTGTCCGCATTAAAGAAAGCAATAGCAACATAGTCGAGAGTGACTAATACGGATACCGATAAAAATTCTTGAAGTAGAGTATCCTGCATTACCAATTAAGAGAACAATGTTATTCAAATATGATTGGTTAGATGCGATGTTAACCGTAAAAGAAGCTTGAACGATTACGAACCATTTATTTTTAGCATCATGATCGGCTCATGTGTATTATGTTGAGTACCCTAGCTTGAGGTGTAAGAATCGAGATTGGTGGGCTATGTGAAAGATCAAAGCTAGATCTATGTTTGAGTTGCTCGATTCATAAGTTGCCGACAACAAAATGCTGAACCATTTCAGCAGGACGATCCAAAAATCCGACATAAATTGATAGAGGAAATTGAGGACGTTATTTTGTCAAATAATCTAAATGGATCGTTTGTAGATATAAAAGTAGGTGTAGTTGACGAAGACGATGACAATGAGTGTGAAAATACATCGGATGACAAAGATGATAACTTAAACGAGTGATTAAGATAATTCTAATTAAATATATATTTTATGTATTATATTAGTAATAAATGTTGTAATTTTTTATCTTTATTAATTTATTACATGTAGTAAATACTATCGATTTTCATACATCTTTCAAACATTAGTTGTGTATTTTGATTATTTTGTATTAGTAGCAAATGATGTATTTTTTATTTCCTTATTAATTTATTCTAATAATATATTTGTTATATTTTATTTATTTACTTAACCTTAGATCATACAACAATGACTCATGGTTTGTGTCACCCCTCACGATTAATACAAAATCACGTTTCGATAATCGTGAATGAGTATCACCAACCGATGGTAGTCCATTAGGATCTCCTACTAGTATCGATCATGGATCTCCGACTACAAGCCTTTTATGTGGGGCACATAGCTCTCGCAGCCATGGAGCTAGCATATCTACGGCGACCACTTGGGAAGCCATTCCCACGGTACCATCGGTAGATGTTCCTACACGTACATCGAGGGTTCAATCACCGACCTCCAAGAGTAGCCCATTTGCTTGTCGTATTTCGCCTTCTAGATAGTTCCTATAGCTCCTCCGAGTCAACGATATATTTTTATCACTCGAGGACGAGTATGTAATATTTTTTTTAATTTATTATATCATTTCAATAATTTTCATGTTTTCTTAATATCTTTTTTTTTTTGATGTTTAATATTTTTACTCTGTCTAGTAGAGATTATGCTTGTGAAGATAACTATGAGTTTTAAAGAGTGGTTGGACGTTAGTGGATCGATCTAGAAGTCTATCTCCGACGTCACTAAACAATTCTACTTCGATAAATTTAGGATAACGTATTATCAATTTTCTTTATAATTGAAATAATTTTTTTCATTTAATAAAGTTGTTAAAATTAATTTTTTTATTCATGCAGAAATATTTTGACTAAGATTTGCCAATCGAGGCGCTTGTTAGAGCAACGTGGGAAGCTATAACAAAAAAAGCTATGCTAACTTCTTCTACAAGTGTAGTTTGCTAGCCGATAGACCTACTTTTATTAGACAAGAGGTTTAGAACATGTGGTAATTAGATTTTACAAGACTCGATCGCATGGTTTGTTCGAGCTAGTATCGCGGAATTGATTCTTGGAGATGGATGGCCTTGATGCGGGTCCTTTCGGGCATACGAGAGGGTTTAATAGCTGTGAAAAAACACATCCGTCACTTGATAAATTGCACACTTTTTATTATTAATTACATGTTTTAGAAAATTTTAATTTTCTTCTCGTATTGTTTGTAATGCATTTTTTTAGGAGGCAAGATTGGGCCGTAAGCCAATTAGTTTTGAGTTGTTTCGGATGACTTAAAAGCGATGAGATGGTTCTTTCATCGATCTTCCTTTCAATAAACAATAGTAAGTGTTTTTTAATTTAAAATTTTATATATGAAAAGATAATCTAAAATTTATTTTAATCTTATAATAATGATATTATTATTTTGATTACGCGAAGCGTGTGGAATAACTCATCCATGAGGCAATTGCAATATAGGAGGCGGAAGGAATCTTAAAGCTAGAAGTTGATAAGAGTGCCATATACCTTGAGGTCAGTTAAGGAGAAAAAGAAAAGGTTATATGGTGTTAGCACACGAGAGGGTGCATTACCTATCCTAGTCAAGTGACAACGGCTCATCCTCTCGCGTCTTCGTATTACACCGTTGACCTTGTTAATGAAAAGCTTCGAGGGACTACGAGGTGACAAATGAAGTGATGAAAAAGATGCGGGTGAAATAACATGAGTTTCAAACCACGATCACGGAGAAGCGGATCACTATACATAGGCTTCACTCTTAGTAAGAAAATATGGCCTCTTTAGTGATGAGGTCGCCACGGACAACCGGGGTACCTATAGTCCATCGACCATTCGGGACTCCACCATTCGTCTCACGTAGCTTCCCATCTAGCCTCCCGTCCGACCCTCCACATAGCATTAGGAGGAGGATAAGAGATTAGATAAGATGAATGATAACACATTTTATAACTTTTTTTTTTATCAAACGTATTACTTGAATGTTATTGTTAATATTAATTTTATATGTTATTACTTGTAATTGTCAATTATTACATATAATATTAATAATTTAAAACAAACAAACAAAACAAAATTTTTTAAAAATAATTTTTTTGTCCAAAATTAATTAGCGATGGAATAGAGATAGTTTAGCAACGTATGCACTTAGCTTTGGATATTAGCGATGACATATCCATCATTATTCAGCGACGGATTAGCGACGAGAATCACGACGAGTCTCGAGACCAAAACAACAACGAGATGTATAAATATTAACGACGGAATTTTCATCACTAAAATAATGATAAAACCGATTTTTCCATCGCCAATTTTAGCGACGGAGCTATTGTTTGTCGCAACGTTGTCGGTAAGATGCTTTAACAATGTAATATATCCAATTAGCGACGAAAAAATGCGTCGCTAATTGTGTGTTTTTTTTGTAGTGAACTACATGACTAATTTTGATACTTTAGCCTAACAATGTTATCATAAGGATAGATTAAAAACTTAATGTATATTTAATGATAAAATTGACTCAATTAGGGATATAAAAATAGATTGGAGAATTATCTTATTATATAAAGAAAAATTGAACTATTAACCAATTTTTTTTATTAGAAAAATTCTTGAGTTTAAATAATTAAAAAAAAGAAGTTAAATAGAATTACGTAATAATATTACTTCCTCCGTCTAAAAAGGATTGTCGTCATTTTCATTTATATCTATTTCAAAATGCTTATTTGGTTAAAATTTTAAATATTATACTTTTCTAAAATACTCTTAATTAATAAAGAAAATCAATTCTTTCTTACATCAATATTCTTTATACATTCCGCTTAAAACATACAAATACTTTTAATATAAATTGCAAAGGAAAATTTTTTGTTACATGAAAAATATTTATTTTTATAAAAACTTTATTGCATGCCAAAATGTTGAGAGTAAATTATTTTTTTTCATAATTGTTTTATACTTACTCTTAATTAAGTTAATGATTTTTCATTTGATTTACCACCTTAATTTTGGATATTTTGTTTTAAAAAAATTAATATGGATTTCATGTAATGTATGATTAAATTTGAAAAATAATAATTTTTTAAAAATAGTATATTAGGAAAGTATGAACAAAAAAATATTTATATGTCATAAAAATTAATAATTTTCTTAAGTTCAAATAATTAAAAAAAAGAATTTAAATAAAATTACATAAAAACCTAGCATTTTTGGTATGTATAATTTAAAAAAAAATTGAGAAAGTTGTCATTTTAATTAATAAAAAATGAATCCACAATAAGCCGTTGTCAAAGCAGGGGCTGTTCCAAAAACAAATATTAACCAAGCACTATTTTTTTACACACATATATATATATAAACAACTAAAAGAAGTTGTGCTTTAAAAACACAATACTACCAAACAAGCCCTGTTGAAATTAGCTAGTTAAGATCAAACCTAGTTGAAAATCTTAACAAACAAATTAGTACCGAACCTTTAATAAGTCTGAGTTTTGAATAATTCACAAATAACTCGATTCATTTGCAACCCTACCCATCGTTGAAAGAAATGTAATGATTTCATGTCACAGAACATAAAACACAATTAAAATTTTGTTGGGAATGTGTTTAGCATTGCAATTTTTGGTTGTACAAGCAATTACAATTGTGAGGTTTGAAAATCATTAATGGTATTTTGTCTCACCGCGATTCATATTCCGCTATCGCTTTTGCATTTGCACTTGACCATAATATCCAACAATACCTAATTTCCAAATTTCGCAAACTAAGCTAGGTTTATGTGAACGATTTCATTACATATTGGTTTATAGTAGCAAACTTCAAATACAAAATAAACTCCACCGTCATCAAAATCATGAAGCCAGCAATATTTGAGGGAGGGAGGCGATTGGTGAGAAGGTAAAAAGCCTATATATGCCTTCGTTGAGGAGAATGGTGCAAATAATCAGGAAGTCCTCAGTCCTCTAGCATAATCCCCAGCAGAAATTCCATTACATCCTTATTTAGATATGGGAGAGGTACTTAAGAAAGTTTTGATAATTTGGTTGAATTCTGCTGCATTTTCAATTTGGGGTACATGGGATGTGTTCATTACTATTTCCAACTTCACGTTCTTCCCAATTAGCCTGCAAGCACAAATTTCACATTCAATGGCTTATTCAAAATATCACTTGGACTAATCTTATCATTGGCTAAAGCATCCAATTAATAACGAAAGATAAGTTTGACAGAATGTTAAAAAAGAAAGAGAAAGAAATGTAATGAAAGGAAAGGAAAGGAAAGGAAAGAAAAAGAATAACAAGGGAGGACGTACTTTTGTAATTCCTTAGCCATCCGTAGAGGAAATATCTGGTCTTTATCTCCCCATACTAACATGACATCCTTAATAGCAATTCCAAGGAACACACGAATTAGATATGCAAAATTGGTTTTACCATCGAATCAGTAGTGTGCTGTACACACACACACATGTATCTGTCAGATCATGTTAATATTTCACGAAATTTAATAAAATTAAATAGATAGGTTATTAATATTTTTTTCTAATTCTAATTAAAATATATAAATACTTAAATCAAAATTTAAAACAATCAAATGTATATATATAACTTTTTTTAAGGAATTGAATGAAATATAGCTAGGATGGTTATTTCCACTTCACCAATTGTTGTTACCACTTCATATTTTGTTCTTACCAACATTAATAACCATCGTTGGTATGTTTCTTTAATTAAATTATGCAATATTAATTAATAAAAAGGCCATTAATTAAATTTAAAATACTAGCAATGATTGCCTCCAATCAAACATAAATTATCTAATTTACTTGTAGTTTAGGCATATGCGCTTTGTACTCCATATTTATGATATTTAAAAGGAAAATCTAAAAGATTTAGGACAAATGAACAAATTTTACAATTTATTTCATTTTGATCTCTTATTTTTTCAAAAAGTATTTTTTAGTCTCTTATGTTTTCAAAAAATATTTTAGCACCTCATGTTTTTATCTTATTCTATTTTGGTCCCTTATAAATTCAAAAGATATTTTTGGTCTATCATGTTTTTAAAAGATGTTTTTAACCCTTCATATTTTCAAAATTTTATCGTTTCTTATGAAAACTCTCATCAAATTAATTTTTTTTAATGTAATTTTATTTATCAATAAATATGATTCTTTTTTCTCAATGTATGAATTTTTCAAAATATATATATATATATTTTAAATAATCATCCCTTCATCTCTACAGAATTTAAGTTCAAATTTAACATAATTAAAACAAGTAGAAATGAGAATGTGTGTCTAGCATGCAATCGTGTTGATGTGTGAGCAGAGGATCAAATTAAGGTTACCTACCTGTTGAAGTGAAGAAATATTTACTGCATCATCCTGTCCAATGGTTAATCCCCTCAGAAGTTCCACTTTCTTATTCCTATTTTCTGCGAACAATTTCTGCATACATGCATGATAAAACCATTTGTCATTTGAAGCTAATTGATCATATCAACAATCTGATGCACTTCGAAAGTTAAAAAATTCTCCTCATTAAGAATCAAAAAACAATCTAGTGTGTATAAATGAAGCAGCTGCAAATTAATGATTACTTTTAACGAAACAGTTTTAATTATTTACTAATTGCTATGAATATTTTTTGTTGGTGAGATCAAGAGAAACGTATTAATTGAGTTCTTTTGCAATATGGATAGCCTTTTTTTTTTTTTTTTTTTTTTTTAAGAAAAGGATTTTCAAGAGAGAAGAAAATGGAATTATTTGTATATGGCCAGCTAATTACCAAAGTAAACATGCTTGGATTTTTTATTTGCCCAATTGGATATAGAGGAGAAGTCTACACCTAATACAAGACTACTTGTTCCCTTACATTAAGGAATGGTCTCGCCAGCTTTCATTTATCAGCTATCTGTCCAACAACCTCATCTTGATTTTCTTGGACGTTAACCTTCCGTGTGGCACTAATCAAATAATATGTTAATGAAGAAGATGATATTCGTTTTCTTAATTAGTAGTCAGAAAATGATGTTGATTTTAAGACTAAACAAAGGGTGAAATAAAAGAACATAAGCGTTTGTTAAGTAATTGTTGTACTACGGAGACATGCAACAGGGAGGAATGATATTCATTTGTTTCAAGAAAAAAAAAGAGAGCTATAAAATACAAGACTAAAATTAATGTCAGGGTTTTTATTTATTTTTTTAAAATCATGAAAAGGCCACATGATACTACAATAGGAAAGATAAAAGAGTAATTTAAAAAGGGAAGGTGCCAAGTGCAAAAAGAGTCAAAAGATGGTAAACTTGTAAATATAAATCAATGGGAGGCAGGTGATTATATGACTGTTGATGGCGTAATTTATAGAAGGGAACGCTATGGAATTTTACTGTAGCAATGGGGGAGGTGAGAGTGGGTGTTAAAAGAAAAAACAAAAGGGAAATTGATAAGGATCTAGTTTCTTTAATAGTCATGGTCTAGGTTTATATATATATATACACACACACTTATGTTCACCTCATTACACATGATGGTGATTTCTTGCATGCTTCAAGCAAGACATCACGGAATTGACATTTTATGAGCTCTTTCCTCCTTATGCCTAAAAAAAAATCCACCTTGTCTAGGAAATGATTTTACTGAATATTTTTGTAGAATTTACTTCCTGAAAATGAGTAGATTCCATTTTGTCAATTTCCTAACAATGATTGAAATTTGCCAGGAACAATCTTTTGGTAAGACTAGCAATAATGCTCTTCAATTTACCCTTTCTATTCCCACAGAGACAAATTAAGAAAAATCCTTCCTAGGCCAAATTATTGGTTGTTAACCTTGTAAAATTGAGCAAGAAATCACGACACATCAAGAAAAACAAGAGAGAGAGAGAGAGAGAGAGGGGGGGGGGGGTGTGGTGCTAAAAATAAAGAAATCACGTACGTTTATGAAGTCATTCAAGAAAAAATCAGGAACCATCTGGAGACCACGCTTGGACACAGCGACACCAAACAAAGCTCTCAAATCTGAAGGTGTCCGTGGCAACATAAGATCGTCAATTTTTTCCAGTTTTGCCTTCTTCACAAGCTCTTCATTATCCTTCTTCGTCATGTTAACTCCAGAGCTTGCTATGACCACCTTCTCAACCCTCTCAGGAAACAGCCTTGCAATGTGGTATGACACGAACCCACCATAGCTTGTGCCCACCAAAGAATACTTCTCCACCCCTAATGTTTCAAGCAGCTTTGCCACGGACTCTGCCTGAAAGATCTCAGATCTTTCTAAGGATTTTGTTGTTGAATCACCGAAAAATATTAAGTCAGGGACGTACAAGTTGAAGTCAGGTGCAAAGAATTCAACCTGCAAAAGATTTCACCGAATATGGTCAAAATTATGACTTTATACACATTTTTTTCATTGAAATCTCAGCATCTATATACCGACATAGCATGCGAATAGGTCAAAAAATTTGGCCTAAAGCGTGGAATTGTTTGCATCAGGAATAGAACCCAGCAACAGCTATGTGTATGCCTAAACCACACATTTCAGGCAAACCCAACAATTATATTTTAAAGATTTATGAATTAATGCCAGTGTTCGTGATTTCTGGAAAGGGAAATTCAGGATTGACTCTACGCATAAATGAAAGGGGATCATGGGGGTTGATTCTCTAAAAAAGAAAAGAAAAGAAAGAACCAAACCTGACGGCGCCATTGCCATAGAGAGACAGGACCGAAGCCATGAATGAAGACCAAAGTTGGTTTGGTTTGGTGAAGTTGATTGGGAGCCCAAAAGTGGATGGTGGTCTCATCACTAACGTTGATGGATTTTTGCGAAAGGCCAGAGGAGGTGAAACAACGACGAAGATAGAAGGCGTAAAGTGACGCAAAGCTGAGAAAGGATGGAGCCATTGAGGAGGGGAAAGGAGAGTAATTAATTAGTTTGAGAGGTTACATATATATTCTATAAATAAACCATTGCAAGAGGAGAGGGCCAAAGTTTCAGAGAGATAGGACAGTTGATGATCATAATGGGCCAGCAGCTGCAAGCATTCTTTATGTGACCTCTTAATTAGTTCCAGAGTCAGTGCGTGTGTATATATATACACACACACACATGTATGCAGATACATGTATGTATGTGGTATTAATTTATCCATTAATTCTATCTCTCTCTTTTTTATTTTAATTTTTGTGTCTATCTTTTTCTTTATCAAATAAATATTAATAGTTATTCCAACATAAAAGAAGGGAGGCTAGGTTCTTAACAACTACAACAGTAATGCTCTTTCCTCTTGCATAAATGATTATGGTTTATAGGTCCTTCATACACTTGGTAAAAAGGCAATGTTCAAGAATTAATCGGATAGTCCGCAATATTAAGTGGCGGTTAGCTTTTCTAAATGCTGAAGTGCATCATCTCCCTCGAATTAAATTTGATCACGGACCTATTCTCTTGAACCTAAACGTTTGTAGAAATCAAGTTGCTAGTCTTAGAAATTTAAGATTTCGAGTTGCTTGGTTATTACGACTCGACTTTTGTGAATTTGTCAAGAATACTTGGAAAAATGATACCTCTTTCCTAGTAGCCAATGATGATTTTATTTATGCTATTAAAAGGTGGAGCAATGACAACTTTAGTAACATATTCAAGAACAAAAGGAGACTATTAGCATATCTATTTGGTATTGAGAATGTGCTATCTATTAGCCATAATCGTTTCCTTATTCATCTTGATGGTATATTAAGAAAGCATTATGAAGACATTCTATTACAAGAAGAGCTCTACTGGTTTTAGAAGTCTTGGTGTGAATGGCTAGCCTATGGAGACATAAAATACTAATTATTACCACTTAATGATAATGGTTAAAAAAATGAAATACAAGAGTGGTGAGATTACGAGATGAGAACAACAATTGGTGTTGTAAGGATCATGAATTACAAGTTTTTATTCTTAGCTACTATAAAAATTTATTCTTAGAAGAGGGGATTACAAGCATTGACTCCTTATCTCATGGGCTATTTCCTCAACTGTCTTATGCTCTCATTGAACTTCTTAACTTAATGGTGTTTGATGACAAAGTAAGGAGGGCTCTTTTTGACATGAAGCCTTATAAAGCCTAGGTGTTGATGGGCTACATGCGGCTTTCTACCGGACTCAATTGCAAATAGCCGATAAGTCATTACGCCATTTCATTCAATAAGTCTTCCAATGGGATGTTTGAGATCCTTCCTTTACTAGAGCTTTCTAGTCCCGATTACAAAAGTAAAGATGTTAGAGACGAGTTGCTAAATTCTACCTTATTGGCCTTTGTAATGTTGGCTAAGGCACTTATTATCCTTCTTTTAATCATTGCACCTATTCAAGTCAGTCATGTCCTAGAAAGAAGAATAACTGATAAAACCATTATTACTCGGGAGGTCCTCCACTCAATGAGAAGGAAAATGGGTAAAAAAGGCTACATGGTTGTCAAAATAGACCTAGAGAAAGCTTATGACAAGCTTAGATGAGATTTGTTTTAGACACCTTGAGTGATATGGGAATACCTCATCACTTATGTTCAACTATTATAAAGTGTCTCTCTTTTGCCTCTCTCCAAATTGCCTCCAATGGCAACATAAGCTCTTTTGAATCATCCAAAGATAATTTGGCAAGAGACCCTATGTCTCTTTATCTTTTTGTTTTATGTATGGAGCGGCTGAGTCGGTTATTCCGGACTAAAGTGTAAAATAACGAGATGGAAGCTAACTTTTCTAAGCAAAGATGAGCCACATATCTCTCATATTTTCTTAGTTGATGATCTAATCCTTTATGCGAAAGTCGATACCGATTGACTAAGGGTTATAACGGAGGTTCTTCATAAGTTTTGTTATGCTACTGGTTAGAAAGTCAATGTATCGAAAATAAGAATGTTATGTAGTTCAAATGTTCCGGATGGCGGGACTAGGATTCTCGGTCCATTTTTGAGTTTCCATTTAACGAGAGGACTTAGGTTGGTATTTCGATGCTCCTCTCCATCATAGAAGGTTAACATGATCACATATGAGCATATAGTGGACAAGGTTAGGATGAGGCTTTCCAGTTGGTAGTCTTGTCATCTCTCTCTTGTGGGTAAGGCAACCTTGACTCAATCATTTTGTTCGACCATTCACATTTACAACATGTAGACTATTAGGTTACCTACTGCTACTATCAATGCCATTGAGAAACTTTGTTGCTATTTTGTTTAGGGAAACTCGATATTTAATAGAAAATTCATCTAATTTCTTAAGATGGGGTTTATCAAACAAAGAAGGTTGAGGCCTTGGATTGAGAAAGTTAGTGGATGTGAATACTGCCTTACTTATGATGATTAGGTGGGATGTTATAATGAGGAAGTCTTCTCTTTGGATTTAGATTCCGTACAACAAATACAAAATCTCTACTTAGTTGATACCTACATTGATCTCTCGTAATAAATTTTTTAATCTTTAGAGAAGTCTTACTCCGATTTGGTAACAAGTTTATGATAGTATCGGTTGGTCAATCGATAATGGCACCCGAATTGGATTTTAGACAAATACTTGGGTGTCCGACTTGGATCCGATTTATGATCATGTAAGTCATCAAATTTTGAATGACATGTTAAGTCATCATATTGAAGATTATATCACACCATATGGGAAATGAAGGTGGGATAAGTTCATGGTATGCCTTTCCAATATTATTTATTTAAAAATTACTAGTATGTTTTCTTATTTAGATAATGATATTAATGACATGCCTTGCTAGAATCACATTAGCACTAGTTTATTCTTCATCAAATTAGTATATATGTTTATCCTTGCTTTAGTCATAACTATTTCAATAGGAAATTAGGAATTAGTTTGGTATTGGAAGGGTCCTCAAAGTATTTGAACCTTTCTTTGGTTGGCCATTCATGATAGACCGTTGACCAATGAATAATGACTCGATAGGGGAATTTCTACGAAGCTTCTTGTTTACATTGTCATGCTATTTCTAAAACAATTCTTCATATTTTTAAAGAATGTTTAGTAGTTAAATCCATTTGAAGGTCTTGTGGTGCAATACATGTGAATCGTAACTTTTTAGTCTTAACTACCCAAGACTAGTTTTGGTCTAATCTTCGATGCACTAAAATACCAACATCCGGAGCCGTTTCTTGCAGCACTTGGTTTGGAACCTATTGTTGGATGCTATGGTCATGGCATAATTAAAAAAAACTTTTTGAAAAAGGTTTTATGTATCCTACCTGACCTTTTGGTGTGATATTTTCTCTTACATAAGTCAAATAACTTATAGTATGGAGATTGTTTTCTATTTTAGCAAGATCGAAACAAGAGGCTCATTCAGAATGATATAGGTATCTAGCTGTATGATTTTTCTTATCACATAAGAGTATGTTGTATTATGGTTGTAGGGTTATGGAGCATCCTTATTTAGTTTAGAGTTAACATGGAAACTGGGGTTTAGACAAGTTTCGCAAAAACCGGCTCCATGATAGCGATCCAATTATTATATACTAGTGATAAGAGCTAAGGAATTCATTATTAGTTAATTAACAATATTCACAAGCTACTCCAATGAGATTGGATAGTTTGTGTCTCTTATGCCTTTAGAGAGACCAATCGTGCGGCGAATTGGCTCGCTTCCCATTCTTACTCCCTTCCATTTGGTATTTCTTATTTACCAACTACTTCTTTATTGGCCTTCTCTTAGAAAATATTTATAAAGTTGCAACTCCAAAAATGTATAACATGAATTAAGTCTGTTTAGAGTCTGTGTCTCTCATTTGAATAAAAAAAATGAATATTAATAGTTATTCAAACAACCATATTAATAATTACTCAAACAACTATGTCTCTTTTGTCCATAAATTTAAGAGAAAAAAAATTAAACAAACATGGAAATATTTATTTTTTCACTTTTATGTATGGTGATATGATTTTTTTCTCTCCAAAATAAGCCTACAAAATAAGTATGAATAATTACTATTTAAGTGTTTTAATTTGTATTGAGATAATAACATAATCAATTTTTTTTACTTTGAAAATTTTCACAATCTAAATATGCTAAATTTTATTTGTTTTAAATGAATGTGTGCATCCTCAAAATTGTAACATAAAAGTTGAAAATATGACATGAATGACTTGAAAATATTAATGATGTGTCATTTAAATAATGAGATGACAATTATGACTTGAATATTAAGGGATAATGTGAACCTAATGACATGGAAAAACAATTTTAGGGGAAATTTCCATCCATTTCTTCTTTCTTTTTACTTTTTTCAAGAAAATATCGACCGGATGGTTCAATTGAAAGGTAAAAAGCTTGACTTGTTACTTAATAATTTTCACGGTAGTATGGATTAGATAATGATAAAACATTTAGTTTTATAGAAAAAATCATCGATGTATCTATTTTGCTAGTATTTATGGCTAGCAAGCTATGAAATCTATGGCAAATGGATATGAAATATGCTTTCTTATATGGAATGTTGGATCAAGATATCTACATGAACCAACCATAAGGGTTTGAGAATAAAAATTATCAATAATTTATGTGTAAGTTGAGAAAGATCTTGTTTGGTTTAAAACAAGCACTTAAAGCATGGTATGAAAAGATGGTAGAGTTTTTTTTAATTAGATATGGATATTTAGTAGCTCCGTCGGACTCAAGCATGTTCGTTGGAGTTCAAGATGGACAAATGACAACAATGTTAGTGTATGTAAATGATCTCATCAATATTGGAAATGATGGAAAAAAGTTATTTGAACAAAAGAGAATTTGTTAACTTATTTCCACATAAAGATTAGGAGAGCTCAAACACTTTCTTAGGCTAAAAGTAGATCATAGGATGAAACTTTATTTCTATATTAATAAAAGTATGCAAAAGATCTATTGTAAA